CCCCGTCTTTCTCGTCTCGTCTCTCTCTCTCTCTCTCTCTCTCTCTCTCTCTCTCTCTCTCTCTCTCTCTCTCTCTTTCCCTTCTCTCCCTCCCCCCATTTTCTCTCTCCTTCTTTTCTTTCTCTCTCAACGTCTGCCTTCATTCTACGTCATTCATTCTACGTTAATCGTAGTTTTAGTTTTATATTTCCCTTTCTCTCTGTTTACCCCCGAGTATCCCCTTTCTCATCCACGTGACCAGTCTTTAAGGGTGCGGAATTCCCATTTTCTCTGCTTGTACATCCGTCTCCGAACTTCCTCTCATTCTGTTGCCCCCCCCCCCTCTTTTCCTTCTCTCCATTTGTTCTATCCGACTGCGGTTACACATGGCCAAATTCCGATTGGCTTTTGTGTCTCAACAGAATCGATACTGTGGCTTAGTGTCATACACAGTTCTGTTCCATTCATCAAGCCTTATGAGTGTCTTTCATTTCTCCCTTTTGCGTTTACACTCTTGCCTTCATCTGTCGAATGTTAGTAATACCCCTCCAAGTGAAATGTCTGGAAAAAGATGGAGGGTCGTGGTATGACGAACGGATGGCGGCCCAACTTGAGAATACGTCTGGGACAGCCCGAGACGGCTGGCTCTTATTCTAGGAATCATAATATTGGCGAGACAAGCGATGTGGTGTCAGCGAAACTGCCCTTGAGCGGGGAGTCGGCGGCAAAATGTCATAACCTTGAAATGATGAGAGCTTGCTCGTTCGTGTTTGCACAACCAGCTGAGGGATTTTTTTGTGTGCGTCGGGACGAGGAGACAGAAAGATCGTGGGTGACGTCATCTCCGGTTAGATGGATTGGCAGGTGGATGAATAGACAACAAGCGTGAACGACGCAAAGATATCGCAAGCTGTATGCGGTTTTTAGTTGATAGGGGATGTGGAGTCTGTTTTGAAAAAAACCCAGATTATTATGTTTGTGAGTGTGTATGTGTGTGCGTATGTGTGTCTCTGTGCTTCTGTCTTTATAATGTTGCTGCTGTTGTTGTCGTTGTCGTTGTAGTAGTTGTTGTTGCTGTTGTTGTTGCTGTTGTTGTTGTTGTTGTTGTTGTTGTTGTTGTTGTTGTTGTATGTCACTTTTGTTAGACTAGTACATACACACTTGTATACACACATATACACACACACGCACATTCACATACACATCTCTAGACGCACCTGCTCCCTCGAATCAAGAAAGAGAAAGAGAAAGAGAGAGTCGGCTCAACTTGTAATGGATATCTTGTGCAAAAATTATCTATCCTCGTGTATCCGTTGATGTACGTATTGACTAGAAAAGGGGTGGATTTTCTAAGGAGAATTGGTTTGCAAGTAGAATATGATTAATATGCACACTTTTTCCCTCTAGTCAGTTCCTGATCTGAATAGAGGGTGTCAAAGCCGACCTCCCCAAATCCAAACTCAAGCTTCGCTTGGATCGAGTCAGCCTTTAGATTGAGAGGCAGGAGGCCACGTGATATTGGCAGTTGGCGCTCTTGTGACATTCATGTTCAACCACACCTGAAATCACAATACGTCTTTAGCACTGAACTGAGGGTAACAATACTGCAAAAGTATAAAGATCTTGGTCTAAATACGCCAATCACAGCGGCTGCGAACGTGTTTGGTTGTTGTTGCTGTTAGTTGTTGTTGTTTGGCTGAAATATTTTGTTGAAATCGTGAACGTGTGTGTGTGTGTGTGTGTGTGTGTGTGTGTGTGTGTGTGTGTGTGTGTG